TTACATTTTATGATATTCGTGCAGAGATAACCGTATGGAAATGACAGATGTAACTTGGGACACTCTTAATGTCTGTCACATCTATCGTAGGTGATATACCATTGCCATTGGTTTAAATTTTTGTCATGTTCATCTTCATTGATGAATTGGTATACTAGTTTGCAGGCTGATCAGCATTGATAATTTTGCTAAAGAGCATTCACCAGTTGATTAGGCTGTTTTTTGTTAGAAAAAGAAAGTTTATTTTTAAATATTATTTGCACAAGTTTCAGCTGCAAAAGGTTAAAGTTTATACTTGAGGAAGCACCCCACTGTTTCAAGGTACCAGATTGTAAGTGGTAGGGTGTGTGTCATTACATGTTTTGGGGCGGAATTCTGCAGCATAGCGTCGTTACATACTGTTATTTCATTATACTCGTATTTCTTTCAACGTCAATAATCACACATTTCCCAAATGTTTGGGGTTTTATCTAATTTTTTATTCTACATTATTTAGCTTATTTAAAACCTCTGGTTTCCCTTCAATACGCATAAATCTTTTGCCTTTTACTGAAGATTTCTGTTGAGGGGAACATATGGTTCATACAGTTTTATTCCTACATTTGGATTATTGATTGATTCTTTTAACTTTATTGTATTGAGAATGTCGGAACAAAAGTGACTACTCTGCAGTTTTGTGATCTGATGTAATATTAATCTCAAACATTACCGTGTCCTTTTCAATTTACTGTGAAAATGCCGCTCATCTTAAATCCGAGATGAAAACAACTTGATTTTTCTTTATACATGCTGTATGTTCACAGCAATGGAAGCTGGTCCTTCTTCAAAGAGGTTGAGGCAGGAGGAAATGGCTGCATGTGCCAGCAGCACGTCTGAAGGGTAAGTGTTCACCATTACTTCTCTCTGATGTACAGAGAATAATTTTTTCAGCGCAGGGAACCTGTAAAAGTATGAAAGTAAACCACCAGGTGTATCTGAAGTCTTGACCTGATAATTTTCTAGTGATGTGTAGTGCAGTGAAATTGACTTTCCTGTGTTATGTACCGTGGTGATACTTTATTGAGAGTGTTTTGAATACGGCCTATTGAAGCAACGCATGTGGGGTCACGATGCTCAGTCATGAGCAATTCGGTTAGAGAGAGAGAGAGAGAGAGTGCGGCCTGCTTGCACGAAACTTGTGACTGCTGGCAAGGCTTAGCACCCGCTGGGTATACGATGAGTGCTGTGTTTG